CATAGGTAGCCTGATCGTTGATCCTAAACCCTGAACCCTAAACCCTTAATCTTAAGCCCTAAACCCTAAACCCAAAGCCCTCTACCCTAAACCCTAAACCCTAAGCCCTAAACCCTAAACCCTAAATCATGATTTAGGATCCCTTGTCGGCCACCTGCGGCGACTGGACGGCTCGGTGTAAGGCGTTGGGACTACTGTAGGGGCCTTTTTAATTAGGGTTTAGGGTTTAGGTTTTAGGGTTTTAGGGTTTAGGGTTTAGGGTTTAGGGTTTTAGGGTTTAGGGTTTAGGGTTGTTGAAGTATATTGTGCTATATGTCGGAGCAACAATGGCCCGTCCTTTCTCAACCGCAAACCACTATAAACAAAGCAATCACCTCCCGACGATCGAACATCTCTTTCACGCCCAAGCTCTACCCACGACAAGACCGAAAGTGGGCTGCACACCTGATAAGCTCCAACCCAGAACACCCCGTCTCCATAGCCGGACAAAAAATGTCCTGCCTGTCCTGCAAGCTGTACAAAAGTGGCAATATTCTAAATTAGGAGCCCTTTAAAAGTCGTTTTTACAAGGCTGCCATACTAATTATTTGAGACCTGTAAAAGGGAATGTGAACCTTTCGCCTGGAGCAGCCAACAGCAACAAAAACCGAAGCCCTAAACCCTAAACCCCCAACCCCTGAGCCCCAATCTCTAAACCCGCACCGAAACCCATGAGCCTTGCCGACCATCTCAGGATTGTACGAGAACTTCGTGTTTCCAACGATGACGATCTGGGAAGGGGTGGCTTCCGGTTTGGGGTTCAGGGCACTAAAGGCTTGGGGGTTCCGGTTTAGGGCTTAGGGCGTCAGGATTTAGATGTGCCGGATAACGGCTTTATAGGGTTTAATTAGGGGTTTAAGGGTTCCTTCAGAGACAGATCATAAGAGGATTTCGGGCTGTGGGGCTCAGGGTGCTTACGGTTAGGGTTTAGGGTAGATTTGGTTAAACTTCACAGTTGTGCAATAGCGTCTGCTGTGGGTTCATACAAGGTCCACCAAGCAAAAAAACGGTTCAGAGCTTGCCACCAACTATAGCGAGCTCTTAATCCTAGACCCTAAGCCGTCCTCCATGAAGCCCCAGCACCTAGAGACCCTTGCAACATGCCGAAGATTCCGCTGTGTTTTCGTCCCGCCGACATCCTTGCGCATTCTCCCGTAATTACATCCTAAAGCAGCAGAAATCCTAAACTCTAAACCCTAAGCCCTAAATCCGTAACCCTAAACTAAACCGGGAATCCGGAGAACAACCTTGACCTGCATCCGCGCACCACTCCCCAAATGCTATACTAAGCCCTCAACCCCAAAGCCCCCCTAAACCCTAACCCCTAAACCCAAAGCCCTCAGCCCCAAACCCTGCCGGATGTGCCTAAAATAGAACCGTTGCAAAGCGCCGCTGCAACCTTGTAAACCCCATGTCATCACCCAGTACATAGTAGTAGAAAACTGCACATAACCTCAAACCTTTGAACCCTAAACCCTAAATGTGTATGTATGTTATATATATATATATAATATATATATATATATATATAACATATGTATATAATGTGTCATAGAAACCTCATCAGATGTCCGGCCTCGCCCTCTTTGACCCCGGTTTGCTTCAGCGCTTCGGAGGCTCCCGTTTTCTGCGCAGGCATCGCGGATTCGTTCAAGAGTTCAGAGTTTAGCGAGATTAGGGAGTTTAGGGTTTAGGGTCTATAGGGTTTAGAGTTGGGCTTGAGGGCTAGGTCTGGGGAGTGGGGTTTAATTCGGAATGGGAGTTTTGAAGTGTAGTGTAGGGTGTAAGATATAGTAAATTAGGCCTAAACCCTAAACCCTAAACCCTAATTAGGCTATTCGGCCCTTAGACAGCTCATTTCTGGAGTTCGGGATCTTGCGATGTGTGTTTAAGGTAAACTGCATAGGCCCGGGCCTTTCGGTTTAGGGTTCAGGGTATAGGGTTTAGGGCAGGGTTTAGGGTTTAGGGATGACTGGCACGGGATTGTGGCGTGGCCGGAAGGGCTGTTTTGTTAG